GCAATGGGAGGACAACCTGTCATGTCTCCTTTGTTCCTTGAACAGGGAAGTTCAAGCTGGAGCATAGGAGGTTCAACCTGAACATGAGGAAAAACTTTTTCTCAGTGAGGGTGACAAAGCATGGCCCAGGCTGCCCAGAGAGGTTGTGGAGTCTCCTTCTCTGCACATTCAAACCCCTGGACCTGTTCCTGTGTGACCTGGTCTGGGTGATCCTGCTCTGGCAGGGGGGTTGGACTTTATGAGCTTTCGAGGTCCCTTCCAACTCCAAACATTCTGTGATTCTGTGAAAAGTCCATGTTAAAAAAGTTATTTTCCTGCCTCATTACTAAATAAATGAATTGGCAACCTTACCAATAGAAGCAAGTATGCTGTGAAGTATCTACGCAGCAGCTGTGGGAGGAATTTCCAAAATGGGTGACTGTAATGATGGGCATTAAGAAGGGACTGAATGTGGTTTTATAAAGAGAGGGGATGTTCTACAAAATGCAACTCATGTACTTCCTAGTATTTCTGCTGTAAGAAACAGCTGGAAGTAGAGAGGACGACTGAGGCAACTGAGCACAGTCGCAGTATGTCCAGGTTTTACTGCAGCAGGAAGGTCTACCTGCCAAGGCTGCAGCAGGTGAGGTGTTTCCAATAGAGGCTGCAATGGCCTTCAGAGCTGCAACAGGGACACCCATGATAGATGCAAGGGAAGAACACACTCACTGAAGAGGTGTGCAATGCAAAGAAGTGGAGCAACCTCCACTCCTGAAGATTTTAAGAGCTCAACTGGAAAAAGGTCCTAAACAATGTCATAGAGCTTTGCAGTATACCTTGCCTGGAGCAAGTTATTTAGATAACAACTACTCAAACAAAAACACTTGATTGAAGAGGAAAAAAAAATTGAAATGCCCAAAGAATAAAAGAAAAAAAAAAGTTAAATGGAAAGGAGAAGCTTCCAGAGGAAAAAACCTGACTAACACCTTCCTAACAGGAGAGCAAGAGTAGAGAATCAAACTGTGTCAGGAAGCTCAAGAAATGTGTAAGAGCTATTTGTCCCACATTGGTACCGTCTGAGTGTTATGAACTCAAGCTTGCAAGCAGCATCTCTGAACTGTGTTTTAATGAAATCTGGTTCTTTAGAATTTCTGCTGGCCACCTGGAAAGGACAAAGATTTCTTCTTTCACCTTAATATGTAACTCAGATCCTACAGAAGCATCACTTTCATCTGAAGCACCAGTGTGCCATCACAATTAACAAAACCTCCAATACACCTACGGAAATTGAGAGGACTGCCGGAGTTTACTCCTCCATTTAAGGAATGCTGTGCCTCTGTGCAGGAAGGGGTAGGGGCAGGGGGGATGCTCCTTACCTTCACTTATACTAGGCTGTCCAGGCCCAGATCCTGAATGGAAGCAATCTCCCTGTGTACAAGGACCTGGAATTCAAGTAATAAGCAAAAGTCTTCCCTCTCTTCTGCAGTACATAGAACTTGGGAGTTCTCCAGGACTATAAACCATTAGTGCTTAAGATTTTCTGTGCATCAGATGTCCGATTTTTTTTTCTTTGCAAAACATCTATTACACATTCAGCTGTCAAAAGAACCGCAATGGTCCATTTCATTTGATGTTCCTGAAGGTAGGCACCTTTTGGTTGCACTGTGGTTCTTCAAACCGCAAGGCTGTAGGGGATTTTCAGTTTTTTGAGCACCGAGTTCATGGACATCTTGTCCCAGCAGACCTGAGAGGCTGGCTAGCCAGCAAACGCAAACCAAGTCACCTTGGCCACAAGCGGTTTGGTAGGAGCTGTAGTGCTCTGTGGCTGGGAGGACAAGGGAGCCACTGTCCTTGCTGCTGACCCAGGGCCAGCTGTGACTCAGCGATGCAGGGCTACAAAGGCTACAAAAAAATTACCTGAAAGAGCAAATCAATCAAAGCAACACAAACCCAAGGGAGTGACAAAAGAAGAGGGTCACTTTATTTCCAGCTGGTCGAGGAGTTCTTCAGCCGTTGCAATTATGTCTCAAAGAAACAGCAGCAGCAGTGTGCAGCAAAGTGGCTGCTAGAAAAGAATCTGAAGTCCAGCTTTCTCCCTCTGATGATCACAACCCACTGCAAGCAGCCTAGGTGGCCATCCTCTTCTGAAAGGATCCTTAGTCTCTGACTGTGAGCAAGGTGACAACTCCACCTGCTTACAGAGACGTCGTATTCAGGAACCTCGCTGCCCTGGCAAGTGCCAGTGCTCTACCCTCAGGCCCCTCAGAACCACCAGAATTTCACCCCCACGCCCTCCACTCAACACTCACACACGGACTTTGTTTTGATCTCCTCTGTGTAGCTCCAATTCCTGACTCGGCTTTCTCTAGCCCAAGTTCAGTATCTTCAAAGTCTAAATCCTCACCTTCCCTTCCATAACTCAAGGCTTATTTTTAAGTTGCTGCCAGGTTCTTACTCGAGACAACCTCCTAGGCAGGATGTTCTGGTCTTCCAGGTTTAGCATATGAATATATCTCAGATGCAAAAAGGGTACTCCAGTTTTACCTCACTAAAAAAAACCACACAGCAACCCTCCCATCACATCAGCCACAGTTCCTATTTCTTCTAAAAATAGGTATTTATAAACAAAAGGAAGAGATTCAGAGAACTACAATGTTAAAAATTTTCCTGTCAACAGCACAAATGTCTTTCATGTAAAGTCACAAGAACAAGCTGTACACCAACACAACGTAAGTACTGTTTAAAAACCCTCTCTCATCAGCTGCTTTAGTCCTCCGCTGCAGAAATCCACATCTCCCATTGCAGCAACCAGCTCCTTTGCACTTCTCTAGGACTTGCACTATGGCTGTTCAATCTCCTTTTGTGATCAAGTCCTCGATATATGCATCCAGTTCATCATCTGTATTAATATCAATGTCCTGAAACCAAAGAAATACCAGTGAAAAGTGAATCTTGAAGAACAGTGCAAGAACAGACAAGACACAGCAGCAGAGCATCCTCTGCAACACCAGTCCTCGTCAGCCTTTATGCCTCAACTTCCAGCACTCTCCAGCTGCTGACATCTGCTGTGAAAGCACCACCAGCTTTCCTTGTCAGAGCCTGACGGACAACACCTGGAAACCAGTCAGCACCTGATGCTCAAACAAGGCACTCAAGCAATAGATTTACTGCACTGATCATGGTCAAGTCAGTACTTGTTTTTAGCTTCAACATACATTTTCCTAATAGTGAGCAACTGCTTCCATCTGCTTTCAGTAGCTTTTCTATTGGGTGGTCTTAAATTTTATTTAAAGTAGGGTTTTTATTTAAAGTTTATTTATTTAATGTTTTTATTTAAATATATATTTGCTATTCTAATTTCATATTTAATAGCATAATTAAAAGATTTAATCATAATTTTTAAAGTATTATTTGTTTAAAGGTTTGCATTTCTGTACATAGTGTTCAGAAACTAGCACAACCTTTCTGCCCAAGAATGGGCAGAAATTCCCCACAGAATACTGCCTATGCCCAGGGAAACTCTTCTGCAGCCCCATGTTTCACAGTAGAAAGCAAAGAGCAGCTCTGCACTATGCACATGCCATGAAAAATGCATCTCTGAAAATTAATACATTTATCAGGACTCCCAAGGCCTAGATCCCAAAAGCTGGACAGTGACAGAAGCTGCACACTCAGCTGCTTCTGATGGTATAAGCCCAAATGAGAAAGAGCTGACAGCCAGTTAAATGCTGGACTAAGAAGACATCTCAAGTGCCTGGAGGGGCCTGGGTCTCGGGAAGGTTGCTACTCATGGGACAGCTCTGGTTTACACCCCTTCCTCACCCACCTCCTGCACTTTCTGCAGAAGGGCCACGATGTTAGTCCTCAGCTTCTGCAGTTTCTCCTCTGTTTCCTTCAGCTTTCTCTCCAAGTTGCAGAGGTTTTCCTCACAGGCTTTGGCCCGGGCATCGGCACGTATCTGATACGAATTGCACAGGTTCTGCAGACCTACCTCATACTGTTTGAAATACTCTTTCTGTAGAAGACAAAACACAAGAGATGACACATTAAGAAGAAGCACTGAGCATCAAGAAAACCCCAGCACTTGCAGCTTGTAGAAGAGTCCAGCTACCAACACCCTGTGACCGAATACCACCAACCTAACACCTGGACGCCCTGCCCGTGGTTGTTACCATCCTTACATTTACATTTCTGATTTGCCTACTGCAGGCAGCACAAAAGTCACATGGGTTTTCACATTCCTCAAAGACAAGAACTGCAACAAAAGCTGACTGACTTCAGATTATGGAGGCAGCATGTTTTAAAAAGCCTAAAACCACAGTTATGCTGTAGAAAGATCTGACAGCCTTTATATGCAGCGAGTTTCCTTAGTGTAGACAACCCAGACAACATAGCTTCTAATTGTGAGGTTGGAACATCTACACTTACAGGAAACTCCAGACAAGATCAACGCATCCTGCGAAAGCAGTAGGAGCAGCAGCTCAAGCAGATGCCAGAATTAACAGAGAGAAAAGACGAAGAGACAGGAGAGACTGCCAATACATACATTGTGAGTGAGGGAGTAGGGCACTTTGAGGACTACCAAATAAGCAGTGGCTTTTGTCATTTGGTCATCTGTGGCTTTTGACACCCACAGATGCCTCCTGAAAAGGTCTTCCTTTGTGGTATGTCAAAGAAAAGAGAAGTCGGAGAAGCCAGTACCATTTCTCCACATTTCAGCCTGCATTGGACCTTCCAATGCCAGCACAGAGATACTGGTGCAGACTCAGCCCCATCTGTGCCTTGCTCAGATAAATGGAGGCCACACCAAAAGACGCCTTAAAATGTACAGCCGACTCACAGGCAGTCAGCCTGCTCACCTAAGACTGTGAAGGGGGGCTGGCTTCTGTGTTCTCTCTTGTTTTTAAGATTGCCCCCACAGAAGTTAGATTTATAAGGCTGGGGGAAAAACAAGCAGGTATGCCTACATCCTATTTCTACAAACCTCTAACCAAGCCTCTCTTTTTTAAAAAGCCTAACAGCAATGGACAAGAAGTTAGCATAGTAGCAGCCAACAGCTTTCCCACACAAATCTATGGTAATTAAAAAAATCCTCTGACAACAACTGTCAAAAGACCTACGGCATGTTTCAGAGGCTCTCATTCTTTTTCTCAGCTACATAAGCTTGCAAACAATCTTTTGAAGAGTGCAATCTTGCATCAACAGGAACGGAATGTGTGTGGGGAAAAAACCCAAACCTACTTTTCTAGAAATACTGAACTCACCAAGGGGAACGCCAACAACCCTTCCGAGCTCATAGAACTCAGCTCCTTCTTGGAGATGGGAAAATTCGGAGGTAAGAAGTACCGCAAACAATTTCTATGCAGGAAAGAAAACACAAGAGCCAGAATTGGGAGTGTAAAAGACTAAAGCAATCAGTCTACAGCAACTCACAAGAACTGCAGTGAACCCACCGAAGGATCTGGACTAGTAAGTCTACTGTTTCTTGGCTGCTGTTGGGACCAGTGGTGTCTGGCTCAATCCTGACACAGTCTGAGGTAGAAGGTTCAGCCACAACAACCTCCTCTTCCAGCTGCGTATCCGGAGCCTGGAACTCGGGAGAGGGAGGCTTCATCAACCTCACATCCTCACTGTCCTTTTGTACCCTGAAGAGAACGTATTAAGGGAAAGTCATATATCTTTTTCTACATTGGCCATACATGAAGCACTGCTAACAGCTTCATCAGAACCTGTACCTAGTTGTCATTCTGAGACCTCTAGGTCACACAACAGCTGCCTCCAGAGGAACATCACATCAGAGCAATGGGCAGACTGTATGGAGTCTGTCAAGCTCATTCCAGCTGGACAATCCTTGACATGACAGCAACAAAAATTTGTTTTCAGCATCTATGGAAGTAAAATGGGGTCTTCCTCCTGAAAGCAAGACAAGCCTCCAAAATCCAGCAGCTAGTGATAGTTACCAGCGATCCCTTGGTGTGGTGTCTGTAGGAACATAATCAAACTTCACCTTCCAGCGAACTGCATGCTTGCCCATTTCCACAGCTGTGACACGGCCTGTGAACCACTCCTTGTTCACACGCACTTCCACATGCAGCCCTTTATCTGCAAGGAAGACAACAGCAAAGATGTTTGCAAACATTCGGATGACAGAGAGCACATCCTGCACCAGCTCTAGAGAAGACAGCCACCCTCAGTGGGGAGCAAACCAAAACCCAAGACAATTCCTTCAAATGGTACATAAACCAGAAAGAACAGTTCAACTCCTTAGAAACATTAGGATGCAATGAAATTATACAGGATTTTCAGACAGAAGGTTTCTCCCTTACTATTTAACATGGGCTTTCCAGATTCGAGTTGGCCACTAGGACAATGTGACACATGTTCCTAGTGAGCCACTTTCCTGACAGCTCCTTGGGAACAAGCTGAAGAAATGCCCTGCTCTGGCAGAAGGTGCAATACCACCCGGGCTATCATCTTTCCTGGGGGTCTCTCGGCCCCTATTCTCTCACAGCAGCACAGCAGGTCTAGATACAGCCCTCAGCATTTCCCAGCTAATGAAGCTCCCTGATCCATTCAGTTAGGAATGGCAAGCATGACACGAGTCTACACCACACAGCAGCATGAACATCGCACTTGTTAACGTGATGCAGCCCTCAGATTACAGATCTTCCCACCCCATAATTGTCTTGTCTAATCAAAGGGTTCCTGGCCAAAATATTTCATGTGAATTGCAGTTATCTCGGGGTTTGGGACCAAAATTTACACTAATTATTATTTTAAAAAGCTCATTAATGTAATCACATGTTTAACCAGTGAGTCTAGTTTTGCAACAGTTCTTTTCCACTGCATTAGATACCAGAGGCAGTCCAAGGGTTCATTTCTCACCTTTCTGAGCTTTCTTCAGTTCTGCCAGCTCTTCTTCCCCAGCGCTGTCTGTGAGCTGTGAGCAGAGAGAGCTCAGATTAGCTGCCTCCCAACAAGATTATAAACACTTGACAAATACCTTCTGCTGGGAAAGCCAGTGCACTCTCACCTCTACCTCCACCTCACTGGAATCTTTCTTCTCTTCATTCACTGGAACAAATTTACCCCGTTTTGTCTTCTTCTTGTGCTCCCCCTCCTCCTCAGACCCATCCTCTGTGGTTTTCAAGGTCCTCTTCCGAGTGGTGGAGGCCTGTAGGAAGCAAACAAGCTCTAGCTATAATTTCAGCATCCTACCAACCAAAACTTTCTTTCAGCCAAGTTTAAAAAAAAAATAATGCTGCATCCAGTATTTAATTTGTTCATTAATTAGCTTTTCCAGAAGGTTTTAGCAGGGACTATGTGCTCATGCAAACGCTCAGCCTGCCACTCCACATTATTTTTCCAGGCAAACAGCCTGGTTTAACAGGCAAGAGATGAAGGGGGGTAGGATGGCATCCTGGCCCAAGAGTAAAGAGTAAAGTAAAAGTTATCTTGTCCTGCACAGGGACTACAGTGCAAATCCCATGCGATGGAGCAAGGGTATGCAGAATAGTAGGCAAGGAGCTGACGGGTTTCATCCCATCGAGTCTCACCTGTGGGCAGTTGGCAGTGGAAGATTTCTTTAGTGCTGGCACCTTGGCAGCTTTTGGACTGGATGTCTCATGTGAGCTTTTTTGGCTCTGCAGGACAGCAGAGGATGGTTTCGTCGCTGTACCGGGTTTGACAGGAGTTTTTAAAGTACTGTTAGAATTTCCAGCTGTCACAGCATGCTGCTGTGTCCTGGAAGTACTGGCCTCCTCCTTGGAGAGCATGCTTGCCAGTTTGGGAGCGCTGATATTTGGCCAAGCTGAAGAGCTCTTTTTCAGCTGACGGGTGGACTTGGGAGGAGGCATAGGTGGTGGTGGTCTGCTTGGAGCGTTCTTGATTACATCAGGTAAAGGAGGAGATCGTGGGCGCTGAGGTCGAGACTGTGACTGTGTGTTCTGAAACAAATGAGGTACAGAGAAAGGACGGAAGAGTTGGGCACTGCTTTTCAGAGCAGCTAAGGGTAGCACAGAAGAGCATAAAGCCAGTGCCTCACATACCTCCCCTGCAGGGCGTGTGGTCACTTCCAGAGGCAGTTTCTTTAAGTCAGCTTGAGATCGAATTGGAGTGATTTTCTATTAAAAATAAAAAATAAAAAAATCAGGAAGGCCATCTTTAAAAGCTGCGAGCGCCTGCCTGAACCCAGCCCAGCGAACAGCTTTCCAATTTAAAATCAACAATTATAAGAAGGTGAGTTCTATGTCCTTCAAGAGGCATCCCTTCATCTGAACACCAGCAGGCACTCCCATTTTCCTAGTAGAAAATGAAATGCAAGCTGAGATGCTTGGTTTTTGTTATTAAGGGGCACAGGTGGCATCAGAGGCTGAGACAGACAACTTGGCAGCAGCCACCTGCACTAGGTCCCTCAAACCTGCTGTGCTCAGTCTCCAGATTCACCTGCAGAGCTTCCAGCTTTTCCTGCTGCTGGCGGATTTTCTCTGTCAGCTGTTTCTGCTTTTCCTCCTGTGATTTCAAGTCTTTCTTCAGAGTTCCCAGTGGTACCTTCTGCTTCTGCTCTGCAGCTTCACATCTAGTATAAAAAGAATGCAAGACAACCTCAGAAACGACAGCAGAACCTGCACTGTCTCACACATACAGCACTGTTCCCAAATCCCATCCAAATGCAGCAGAAAAACCTCCTTCCTTTCTGCAGTAGCCACCATCTCAAACACAGTAGTTTTCTTCTTGGGAAACATATAAGACTTAAGGATCAAAAGCATAATTGTTAAAAAACAAGCCATTTATGCTGGAAATTGCCAATTTAGAGCCCAGGTGCTAAACAAAGCTTAGGAACAGCAGCAACTGGTTTTCTGTACTGTTTCTGTACTCTGGACTTTTACAGCAATTTTCCTTCCTTTCAACTTACGTCTTCATATCAGTTCTTCTTTTTAGAAACTTCCTTTCCATTTAGAAAGGAAAGCTTATTACCAGTGACTGCAAGGAAGCCCTGCTTTCTACTGGCACCGACCAAACCAGACGAGTGTTAGTGCAGCTTCTGCCTGATGTAAAAGGACATGACTGCACTCACTGTTGGAAAATGCACATGATCCTACTCAATCCAAAAATATTCTGTTTACCCTCCCAGAGCAAGATTCCTGAGATTCCTTTTGAAGAAGCTGAAATGACTAGAAGTTTGGATCACCTGTCCAAAGCACCTCACCTGCTGATTCCCACCTCCCTGCTAGGGGGATGTGGGAAAACACCACACATGCACACAATGCGGAGGTACTCTTAACTCGCTACAACTACCGTCCTAACATATTCTCATGTGAAATGCAGCCAATTTCTTCCGAATTTTCAAGGTATTGCAAATAAAAAACTTTAATTCTTTCATTAGCAAATCAAGTTCAAGCAAATGGTGCCATCTCAAGGCATATCAAGGATAA